ATAAAAATACTCTTTGTTTTATTTTTATACTCTCAAAAAAAAAATCTTAAGATTAAACTGTAAACCTTAAGGTAACCACGTGGTATGAACAATTTTAATCATAATTAATTCTCTGTTTATTTTATCTCCTTTTAGACTAGGACAACAACAAGTCTCATTTTAAATTGGTATGATTTTTATAAAAATTCAAGGTTATATTTTTATAACATGCTATATATATGATTCAATCCTGGTTCAAAATAATTTTTATATGATGCTAAAATCTCAAGATTATAAAGATCTATATTCTATTGTTGGTTTTAAAACTTATAATTCATGGATTACTAAATAAAAGTTTTTGCCTAGATACCCTTAAACTATATGATATAATTCTAAGAACACTCTAAATTAAGATCTATTAATTTTAGAGGCATTTATTTATGTTAAAACTTGATCATTGTGTTATAGCTTCACTATCAAAAGGTTAAAATATACTTAGTCTTGTTTTCTAAAAATGGTAATATTATTAATGTAGAGTATAGCCTTAGACTTTTATAAGCTATGAACTTTAAAACTAAATCATACAGAAAACTGTTATGCTCTCACTTTAATGGACTATATTTATGACTTTTAAGGCTCCAACTTAATAGGGATGAAACCTAAATTCCTAATATTTAATGGCTAACAAATGCAAGTTAATAATCATCTCATAGATGATCAAATCCTTTCACTTGTTCAAAAATATATTTATAGTCTTACAGATGCAAACATGGTCTCACGGCTATCACAGCTGAGGATGGTCCCTGGGTCACCATATAGGAATTGGTAAAAATAATAAGAGAGGAGTCTTCCTGACAGGCTCATCTACAGCAAAAACTATGCTCCAGACCTTGGCTGCTGCTCTGAGACTGTAGGCATTCCCGAACAGAAAACAAGAAGTCTGCAATGCCCCATCCTGCCCCGGTATAGCCAAAAGTCACCTCCACCAGGTAACTGTTTCAAATGCAGCCAAAGGGAACATTGGGCCTGAAGCACATCAGTGAGGAAGGGAGAGAGGGAAAGAGAATATGCTCACCTTTGGAGAGAGGGGAGGGAGACTAGCTAGGGAGAGTTTCTTTCTTTCTTTTTTTTTTTCCTTTATATCATTTGAAATGATACATCATAGTTTCCAGTTTAAAAATAAAATAAAATTTCATTGAAAAAAACAAATGAAAAAATTTTAAAGATAAAAGAAAAGAAAAAAGAGAAAAAACAAAAACTAACCTGCAATGTATTTATTGCTCCAAAGTATCTCTTTTGTCCTCAATTCTGGATTAACAGGAAAGCCTTGAAATAAGACATCAGGAGGCACTGCTTTTCAAGATTTTGGTGTAGGAGTGAAAATTTACCAAGGTTCTTTGAAAGTTAAAATGCATGTGCTTCTGTTTTTTTCTGAGTCACACAGCCTGGCAAGAAGAGTTTGCCAGGTGGCTGGCCCAGAGAGACTCTTTCCCATTACAGTTTCCTGGGTGTCAGACAGTACATCAACTCTTTTCTTCCTCACAGCTCTGCAAGGAAGTTGCTGATTATCTGTCTGTACAAGAAATGAAGACGCTGGATCAGGGGCAGAGAATGGATTCCAAGCCACTTCTGGCAACTACCTATTTCGGGGGTTCTTGGGGATCCTGCTTGTGATGTAATAATAATAACACATGCAGAGACATCTGTATAGTATAAGCCTGTTGGCCTTTTTGCTGGGGGAAACTCCTGAGCGAGCCAGCCAGACTTGCCTGACTCCCATGCCACCTCACTCTGGACAGCATGTCTCCCCGCTCTGTCCTACCCCAGCTCCAGCCTCAAGCTCTTTTTTGTTTGTGTGTTTGTTTTGTTTTTTGAGAGAAGGTTTCTCTGTGTAGCTTTGGCAACTTGTACACCAGGCTGGCTTCAAACTCACAGATATCAAACTGCCTCTGCCTCCCAGAAATGCTGGGATTAAAGGCATATGCCACCTTACCCAGCTTAGAGCTCTTTTTATTGTTACACAAAAGGCAACTTTACCAAGTCAATATCTGCTTACCAAAACTTATCTGTCTTGAATGACCCATCACCTAAGCAATTCTCAGCTCAAAGGAGACTCTCTGGTTTGTCCTGTCCTGTCCGCAGACTAAGTTACACAAACAAGAATCCTTCAAAAGAATAGCCCCAAATAACAATAAGTTCTGATAACAATCACTGACCAAAGGCTACACCGAAGCTTAGGTGCTTAGATTCACATTAGATACAACAATTCTACTAAAATTCTGCTACAACTATCAAAAATCCAAAGTCCAGTCTCAAAATGGAGCGCCATGATCCAAAGGAATCAGAACAGCTGAGGAAGTTGTTTATTGGTGATCTGAACTTTGAAACCACAGATGATAGCTTAAGAGAAGGTTTTGAGAAATGAGCACACTAACAGACTCTGTGGTAATGAGAGATCCCCAAACAGAACGTTCCAGGGGCTTTGGTTTTGTGACCTACTCTTGTGTGGAAGAGATGGAGGTTGCCATGTGTGCCCGGCCACACAAGATGGATGGGCATGTGGTGGAATAAAAGAGAGCAGTTTCTAGAGAGGATTCTGTGAAGCCTGGTGCCCAATTAATGGTGAAGAAAATTTCTGTTGGTGGTATTAAAGAAGATACAGAGGAATATCTTCTGAGAGACTACTTTGAAAAGTATGGCAAGACTGAAACCACAGCAGTCATGGAAGACAGGCAGAGTGGAAAAAAGAGAGGACTTGCTTTTGTAACTTTTGATGATCAGGACGCAGTTGATAAAACTGTTGTTCAGAAACACCACACTATTAATGTGCATAGTTGTGAAGTGAAAAAGGCCCTATTCTAAACAAGAGATGTAAGTCTGCTGGATTGCAGAGAGGTCGTGGAAGTGGAGCTGGCAACTTCATGGTGGAAACTTTGGAGGTGGTGGTGATAATTTTGGGCGTAGTGGAAACTTTGGTGGAAGAGGAGATGGTGGTGGTGGACCAGGATATAGAAATCAAGGTGGTGGATATGGTGAAGGAGGATATGATGGTTACAGTGAAGGAGGACATTTTGGTGGAGTTAACTATGGTGGTGGTGGGAGCTATAATGACTTTGGAAATTATAGTGGACAACAGTTCTCAAATTATGGATCCATGAAGGGGGCCAGTTTTGGTGGAAGAAGCTCAGGCAGGCCCCATGGTGGTGGCTATGGATCTGGTGGTGGAAGTGGTGGATATGGTAGCAGAAGGTGTAAAAACAAATAGCAGGAAAGGCTACAGTTCTTAGCAGGAGAGAGAGTGAGGAGTTGTCAGGGAAGCTGCAGGTTTCTGAGACAGTCGTCCAAATGCATTAGAGGAACTGTAAAAATCAGCCACAGGAGAAACAATGATCCATACTCAGAAAAGTTACTGCAGCTTAAACAGGAAATCCTTTTTGTTCAGGACTGTCATAGCCACAGTTTGCAAAAAGTGCAGCTATTGATTAAAGCAATGTAGTGTCAATAAGATGTACATTCCTGAGGTCTTTTATCTGTTGTAGCTTTGTCTTTTTCTTTTCATTACATCAGGTGGATTGCCCTGTAAGTTGTGGTAGTGGTACCAGGAATAAAAAAAAAAATTAAAGAATTAAAAAAAAAAACAAACCCAAACTTATTTTGAGAAAGAAAATGTTATTCTCCGGGATCTGTTTAGTTTCCTCCACTTATTCCCCATCTGAAACAAGTCCTGTTTCCTCTGAGTAAGGAAGCAGAAGCCACACGATTATAGAGCATGGCCACGGCAGGAAGGACAGGGCTTTAGGGAACAATAAGGTTAGGTTCTTTTCTCAATTACAGAAAAGGCCCCAACTGACCTACGCACACTCTTGACTGTGCAAGACATACCTTTGCCTTCACTGCCACGTCCAACTCAGGCCAAATCAACATTCATCTTTTCAGTAAATAGGGGCTGTGTGACCACTGGTGCTAAGGACTGCAACGCAGCTCCCATATCCAGAGACCACCTCAGAGCCAGCTGGTTTAAGATGGCGCATCTGGACCAGTCTGGACACCACTGGCCAAAGCATTTAATCCGCAATAACAACTGTAACCAAGATCTGGGACAAACAGTGCAGCCTCTCCCTCTGCCTCAGTTCTCCTTCTGTAAAATGGGGACTATTGCAAATAATAGCTACCTCAAAGTTCCATTAGATAACTTACGTAAAACCTTCTGTATAGTGCCTGGATCAAAGTAAGTATTAGTTGCTTTTTTTTTTTTTTTACTTAGTGTTTTTTCTTATTTAAGATTTATTTATTTTATTATGTATACAATGTTCTGCCTGCATGCACAGCTGAATGCCACATGAGGGAACGAGATCTCATTATACATTTTTCTGAGCCACCCTGATTGCAGGGAATTGAGCTCAGAACCTCCGGAAGAGCAAACAGTGCTCCTAACCTCTGAGCCATCTCTTCAGCCTCATATTAGTTGCTATTATTACTGTTAAATATACACTGTATGTCATATGACTAGAGGGACCATATCTTATTCTCCTGGGCTCCCAACACCCAGAACAGTTGCACATAATGGATTCTGAACACGTACTTGCAGAAACCAAATAACTTACATCTGGAAATAGCAGCATCTGGATCTTTCCATGTCAACACAGAACATCTACCGTGTTGTTCGGAGCCACGAAGGGATATTGACAGTGGAGCTTGCACTTAGGTACCTGACACAGATGTTCCTGAGATGCCAAGGCTTGGGTTCAGCTTAGTGGTAGAGGACTTGCTTAGCATAGGCGGTTTTGACCCCTGACACTGCAAAGACCAAACAAAACAACAACAAAAGAACTAGTTCAGAAGAGAAGATGTTCGATATAACGTTTTGAGAGTGAATGCATAATTAAACAAACGACCACGAAAACTGTCCGGGCCTACTAACCACGCCTCGAACGCAAGTTCCGGGGGTGGGCGCTAGAGGGCGCGGAACGCGCTCGTCCTCAAGCCCTGCTGAGGGCTACGCAATAGTTTAGTGACCGACGCCGCGCAGTGACGTCTGCGGGGCGGCGCGGAACGGAGTAAAACATAAATACACTCGTTTTCTTGGGCTGCTGCGTGGACACCCCTGCCCGTGCCGAACTGTAAGAGCGTGCGGGAGACAGGAAGGCGGCCGTTCCAGTGAGCGGCTCCGTTCCGCGTCGGGGCGGGCTAACCGCGCGCGCGGCAGGTGCGCATGCGCGAGACGGGAGCACAGGGCGTAAGTGTGGCGGGCCGCTGTTCCTCGCAATGGTCGGGTCAGTCGGGGAACCGCGGCCCGGCTCTGTGCAGCGCGGCTGAGGCCCCGCTTGCAGACAGATCTGAACCGGAAGGCTGATCGGGCTGTGTGCTGGGCTCACTGCCTTCGAGGTGGGCGCTGAGTCAATGGTGGTTGTTAATCGAGCAAGGTTGGAAACTGCCTGACTCGTCAGCGGGAGGGATCGGGCTTTTAAAATGACTGCTTTACACCCAGAGTTGTGTTCTGTGTGCCTGAATGTGCGAGACACTCGTTTGAGTCCGTGAGAAGCAACAGGGAACGAAACATCCCTGTTTCGGCGTGCAGGCACAGTGAAAAGGCAGGAGAAGGGGAGTAATACTTGCAAGGACTGGGCACGGATTTTGGGGGTGGGGGTTGTTGGTACAATAATAATTGGGATGGGCGGTGGGAAACACTGAGTTCAAGATAAAGGAGGCTAGGGAGTGTGAGACACGTGGCTGCGCTTCTGGCCTGTGGAGAAATTGTAGTAGCAGTAGCCCTGGCCAGCCCTGAGTGGTGGGTCTTGATGGTGTGTCGTTTATCTTCTTTTTTTTTTTTTTTTTTTAAGATTTATTTTATTATTTATACAGAAGTCTGCCCACAAGTATGCTTGCAGGCCAGAAGAGGGCACCAGATCTCATTATAGATGGTTGTGAGCCACCATGTGGTTGCTGGGAATTGAACTCAGGACCTCTGGAAGAGCAGTGCTCTTAACCTCTGAGCCATCTCTCCAGCCCGTTTATTTTTTTTTCTTTCTTTTTTTTTTTTAGAAGAAAATATACATTGTTGTGTTACCAATAACCACCATCTACCTTCAAAAGGCACCTTGGTTTTAGTATCCTAAGTCTAAGTATTGGGCTTAAACCATTGAACTCTGCTTAGACAGTGCACGTCAGCTCAGAAGTCGGCAAGGCCTGGAATACCTAGTGTGTGGTCTGGTGGTGAATGAATGAAGTCTACAAGGTTCTGGTAGAGACTGGTTGCTGACAAAGGAGATCAAGTTAACTGTTGCTGCTGTCTTGAAACCGACTAGTACACTGGACACTAAGGCCTGCACCATTACCATCTCCTCCGTCATATATTCCCCAAGTGTTTTGTTGAACATATGCCTTGCTGGACCCAGAAAAGACGGGTGAAGCTCCTTGATTCCACAATTCCTTTTTCTGGGAATCGTTACCCAAGAGTGCTTGGATCTGGGTTTGACCCAGGGAGGTTTTGGAAATATTCCATAACAGTGTGACTTTGGTTAGAAAGAAAGACCCTTTTCCCTGGTAGAGAGCCCTCAGTCTCTTGGACCCAATGTAGAGCAGTTGTGAGAAAGCATTCCTGATGGAGGAGACATCGAAAAAGGAAAGAGATGTCCAGGGGGAGAGCAAGATCTTCGTGGACCCAAAGAAAGGGATTTTCTAAGGGAGACCAGCATATAGGAAGTTCTTGAGAGTCCAGATTTGTTTAAAATGCCATTGAGTGTGGGTGTCCTGGTACACACCCGTAATCCCAGCACTGGAGGATGAAGTGGGTGAATCAAGTGTCAAAAGCCAGCCTTGGGCTGTGTAGTTGAATTTCCCACCCCCCATCATTGCAGAAAAAGCAATACTTGTTGCCTGTATTAGTATGTGTTCTGTTGCCAGAACAGACTAGGTAAATTATAAACAAGTGTGTTTTGGCTTATAGTTGAGGTGCAAGGCCAAAAGACTACATCTGTTCATGGGCTTCTTGCTAGTAGAGCCCCAATGTAGAAAGTGTATCTGTCTGGGCCCCTCAATATACACCAAAATAAGGACCTGCCAAAGAAAGAAGGGACTTCCTTTATATCTGTATGATAACCATTGTCTAACTAGAATTACATAAAGTACTGTAACAGGTCTTTTAAAAATCAGAATATAAGCAGCCAGGCGTGTTGGCACAGGCCTTTAATCCCAGCACTCAGGGAGGCAGAGGCTGTGAGTTCGAAGCCAGCCTGATCTACAAAGTGAGTCCAGGACAGCCAAGTACACAGAGACACCCTGTCTTGAAAAACAAACCAACAGAAAAATCAGATAGGCTGGATTGATGGTATTCCAGTTGGTAATCCCAGTCCTTAGAGAGAGGCAGGAGGATCAGTTAAAGGCCAACCTTGGCTATACAACAACCCTGTTGAAAAATAAATAAGTAATAATAAAATAAGTTGGCCAAGTTCCTGTTAAAAATAAAATACTACTACTAATAACAATGTGTACTTGGTAGTTACAAGCCCTCTTGACTCCTGTAGGTACCCCATGTTGGAAGATGCCAGCTACTGCATATGAAAGAGTAGTTTACAAGAGCCCCTCCGAGTACCACTACATGAAAGTCTGCCTGTAAGTTCGGTCTTGGGAGTTCTGTTTTACATTACCCATTTCTGTTGTTACTGTTTTTTTTCCGAATCTGAAAAGCATGGAATTTAATGTAATATTTTCTCCCTTTAATATATATATATTTTTTTACAGAGAGTTTCAAGAGCATGGAGTTGGACTGAATGCAGCCCAGTTCAAACAGCTGCTTGTTTCAGCCCTGAAGGACCTGTTTGGGGAGGTATGGGATCAATTGGCAGATTAACATTCTCAGGGTTTGGTAAGAAAGTCTAGAAAAGGGACCAATGGTATAGCTCACTGGCGATATCATGGCCTACTTTGGGCCTGGTCATACCTGTCACTTGGGCACATACCTATCATAATTCTGGCACCTTTGATTCTGCCACTGGTAGGTGGAATCAGGGTTAGACTTTGAGGCCAACCTCCTCCACATAGCCTTTGGGAGTCAGCCTGAGCTAGTCCTGTAACTCAATCTATAGACAAGGCTAGCTTCAATTTACAGAGCCACCTGCTTTTCAGCATCTGCTTTTCAGCCCTGGGATTAGAGGCAAGCAACACCACTCCCAGCTTAGGAAGAGCATTTATAAGAAACACAGAAATGTTATTTTTTTTAAGGTGTACTAGAAATAGCAGAAGCCAGCTTTCAGAAATAATGAATTCTGGTAGGTTATTGTATTGTGCCCTGTATTTGATAAGGAACCTGTTAGACCACTGTTTGTTTTTACACAACGCTACAGAGTTATAGTCTATACTGGTAACCTACAAACATCATTGCCTGTCTTTGAAAAAATAAAAGTGGGCTGGAGAGATGGCTCAGTGGTTAAGAGCACTGGCTGCTCTTCCAGAGGTCCAGAGTTCAATTCCCAGCAACCACATGGTGGCTCACAGCCATCTGTAATGGGTTCTGATGCCCTTTCTGTCAAGCAGGCATACATGCAGATAAAGCATTCATATACATAAATATATTCATATACATATATACATAAATAAATCTTTTAGAAAGAAAAAAGAAAAAAGTGTTTACATGAGCGCTAGCATGCTTCAGTCCCTGGAACCTCTATGGTAGGAGGAGAGAACTAACTCTTGAAAATTTCCTCTCCACACACGTGCAGTGGCACAGACACACATACATATACACATGTGCAAACAGATTTCCATAAATGTATGGTGACACGTAGATGTATGCGGGGGAAACACATGAGAATAAATACATCTCTGATAAAAGCATGTGAGCGTGGTTGACATTCCAATGCTGCTTTTTAGCCTTTCTCAGACAGCAGCACTTTGAGCAGCTTTGTCTTAACATTCACTTTGGAAATGGAGAAGAACAAAGCTAGGATTGACTCCCACGACCTTCCCTGACTGGTTTATTCTGTTCAAGTCTGCCATGTACCATATCAAATAGAATCTGCGAAGAGTGTTAAGAAAATGGAAAGATGAGTTAGAGGTTGGGGAAAATATTTGGAAACTCTGTTTAACAAAGAAGTATTATCTAGAAGATTACAGAGAATTCTCAGAACCCAGTAGTGTTGAGCATAATGAATTATACCTGTAATCACAGCACTAGACAGGCTGAAGTTGGATGATCAAGGTTATGTATAGCAAGACCCCATCACACATTAAGAAGGCCCCAATCATAAGAAAACAAACAGTCCAAATAGAAAATAGGCTAAAAACTTTCAGACATTTCACTAAAGAGAGTCTACAACTGGCACAGCAGCACATGAAAACATTAGGCACTAGAGGACTGTATACCAACATCAACATGAACTGAGCATGTACCTACCATACATTTAGCAATAGTACTTATGGGTATTTACCCTCCAAAACTGAAAACTTATAAAAGTCCACACACATGGACTGGTGAGATGGCTTAGCAGGTAAAGGGGCTGCCACCAAGCCTGATGAATGAAATTTCATCCCTGGAACCCATATGGTGGAAGAAAAGAACTGACTCCTTCAAGTTGTCCTCTGCCTTCCACATATATATCATGGCACATACTCATGTGTGGGCACACACAATAAATAAATTAATAAAAAGTAATTTAAAGCAAAATCCCTATACTTGAGCTGGAGAGGTCCCAACAGCTAAGAATACTTGCTCTTGTAGAGGTCCTGGGTTCAGTTCCCAATACCCGCATAGATCACAGTTGTCTTTTAATGGGCAGATTGTTCAGTGATCATATATTCGTATCATGGAATATAGTCATCAGAGAAAAGGACAGTGGCTAGAGAAAGCTGTAGAAAATTAAGCTGAATGGAAAGAGCCAGCCCTGTTTAAGTTACTTATTGGGTATTCTGTGTATATACTGCTCTTGTTACAACAGAATGTGAAAAAAGTGGTTGCCAGGGTTTATTGATGGTTGATAAATTGAGTGGTTATGAAGATAAAGGACCAAGAGAAGGAGTCTTATGGTGGTCCAAGATTTTATCTTGGTGGTGCTGGTAGTTGCAAGAAGTCACCTCTGTGGAAAATGACATAGACATACACACATGTAAATATAAGTGTACATAGATAATGTCAGATGTAAGTAAGCTCTGAGTTGTATCAATACCAGTTACCTGCTTTGATCCTGCACTAAAATTATATAAGATGCTGCTTTTGAGGGAGCCTGAGGGAAGAGTGTGTGATATTCCCCATAGAATGCAACAAATTAAAAAAAAGTAAAACCTGCAATTTCTATATGTTTAAAAAAGATGGTTTTAGGAGATAGAGCTGTGAGGAAGATATGATTTATTTCTGTTGGGCTGTCAGTCTTGTTAGATAGTGACAAGAAGGGTAGAATTATGATTATGGAAGAGCAGAGTATGGGTCTTGTAGAAGAAAGAGTGCAATGAGTAGATTGAGCCTAGTCTCGTGAATAAGAGAATGAGCTTCTTTAAACCTCTTCCCCAAAGTGTGTGTACACGCATATATGTGCCTGTGTGCATATGTGTGGAGGTCAGAGGACAACTTGGAGTTAGTTCTCTCGTACCATGTGAGTCCTGGGGAATCAATCTTAGGTCACCAGGCTTTGTGCCAGGCACCTTTACCCTCTGAACCTTCACCTGCTGGAGAAGGGACACTTTAAACAACTCAGAGGCGAGGAAGTAACATGAAGAGGGATAGAAACATTCCAGACAGTGGGAGCTGTTAGCAGGTACATGACAGTACCTGCACCATTACTTGAAATACTAGTTTTATTAGAGTTCACAAGTGAGGGCAGGGGTCTGCTAATGGTATTGTTCTATACATAGGTAGGTGCTGCGTTACCAGTGGATGTCCTAACCTATGACGAGAAGACCTTGTCAGCCATCTTAAGAATATGTAGCAGGTACGAAAGCGAAACACTTCTAAAATAACAGGCAGGGGAGTGGTGGGAGAGTGCGGTGAAGATGCTTCTATGATGTAAGTGTATGACTGGGAACCCTGAGCGCCTTTGGGAAATTTGCACTGGAGTTAATAGGAAGATTAGTCCACCTGGGGTTATACTAGACAGAGAAACCCTTGTGATTGATCACAGCCAGTCCCAGTCGATTATTGTGGTTTTAAAGTCAGAAATGTGTACATTGTAAAAAGATTCTTGGGCTCATTTTGTTTTATGTGATATGTTTTGACTTCTATGGTTCTGTTTCATTTAAATAAGTCTTCTGGTTTTAAAAAGATAAGACATTCTAGACTATCACAAGCAAAAAGTACTAGGGAGCTGTTGCAGCAGAAATTTTTATTTATGTTTTCTTGATCTTTCTCCAGTGGTCTGACCAAGTTGTGGAGCTCTTTGACCTTGTTCGGAGCCTATAAAAACAAGAAATGTGCCTTCAGAGTGATTCAGGTAAAGGCTCCTTCACAACTCCAAGGAAAACTGAGTACTACAATGATGCAATCTGGGTGTCTGTCTCATTTTTTGAGTAAAGCAGAGTTAACATCCAGCAAGGGCAAAACCAGTATCTCCCTGCTTCAAACTGAGTCAGGGTGGTCAGGTCGCACAGGATATTCAGAGTTCACACTTGGAATTCCTGTGGTAAAGGCTTTTCTTATTGGACGCTACATGCAGTGCTATGTTGGTAGGCCGTTTCCAGGCCTATGATTACCTCTTCAGCCAGTGCTTCCAGGATGCATTTTAAAATGTGACTGCTGCAGTTTTGTGCATCCTGTGAAACCTGCACGTTTTGTTTCTGTGTTGCCTGTTGTTTCTGTGCAGCTTGAATTAACCTTTTCTTCTCTTGTAGGTGTCTCCCTTTCTCCTTGCATTATCCGGTAATAGCAGGGAACAAGTATTGGCTTGAATATTCTTACAGTTCTAGAAATCTCCACTATATAGTATGAAAACAGAAGCAGGCTAAAGCCCCAGTTGATGACATTTGGAGCTACTGAAGATGTTCTCTGTGATTTCTGGCCATTGTCTCTGGTGGAGCGGGCTTCAAAGGAGACTGTGGCTGAATCAACTGGTGCCGACAGGACAGCACTTTCGGCATGTGCACTTGAAGGTTGGAGACCGAGCTGAGCTCAGCAGAGCCTTCACACAACAGGATGTGGCTACCTTCTCAGCGATAACAGGAGATGTCAATCCTTTGCATTTAAGTGAAGATTTTGCAAAACACACCAAGTTTGGAAAGACAATTGTGCATGGAGTTCTGATAACTGGACTTATTTCAGCTCTCCTGGGTACTAAAATGCCAGGGCCAGGCTGTGTGTTTCTTTCCCAGGAAATTAAGTTTCCAGCCCCTTTATATATTGGAGAAGTGGTTTTAGCATCTGCAGAAGTGAAAAGGTTGAAGCAATTTGTTGCTGTTGTTGCGGTGTCCTGTTGTGTAATAGAAAGTAAGAAGACAGTTATGGAAGGCTGGGTTAAAGTTACAGTCCCAGAAGCTCCTAGATCCTGATGTACAAGTGTAAAGTTATAAGTTGAAACACCTGTGCCCATCAGGGGGATGGACCGTGTTCTTCATTAAGGAATGCTGGTATATCTGGAAGCCAGCAGACGGCTTGTTCTAATGTCTGCTTTCTAGATTGGCTTATGCTTTACCCAGGCTTAAGTCTGTGCAAGATTTTATTATCTGTGGAGATTTGGGTTTTTTCCAATTAAAAAACAATTGAGAGGGACTGGAGAGATGGCTCATGAGTTACAATCACTGGCTGCTCTTCCAGAGGATCTGGGTCCAACGCCTAGCACCCACATGGCAGCTCACAGCTGTTCGCAACTCTATTCTTGGAATCTAATGCCATCTTCTGGCCTCTGGAAACTACATGCAGATGGTACACAGACACACATACAGGCAAAACAACCGTACAAATACTAATACATACAAATAATAATAACAGCAAAAATCCTTGTAAAAATTGAGAAAGCTATTTATCTGCATGTTTTACTTATGTTTGTATTTGATAACGTGCCTATATTTGTTTTTAGGAAGTTTCTTACTGAATTTATACCACTGTGTATTTAGTTACTAACTATAATGATGGAAGTAGGGTCATCTTTGAATGTCTACTCTTTACCATTAAATATTCTTAACCCTTTCTCAGTTGTTTGTGGGTTAGGTTTATAATTGTTTATATGCTTTCCCACTTGGGAGGCAGAGGCAGGCGGAGCTCAAGGCCATCCAGATGAGCATAGCAAGTTCCAGGACAGCCAGGGCTACATAGAGAGACCCTGTCTCAAATTAATAAAAAACAAAAATGCCAACTAGTTCAACTTTCTGTGTGCTTGCCTTTTAGGTGATTTTTGCTTTTACTGGAGCAGTGTTTCCATGCAGCCTTGACTCAGTTATGTAAACTCCTAACACTGCAACATTGTTGGGAAATAAAAGAAACAGAATTAAGCAGAGGGCCAATATCCTCTGACCTGGCTTCCTATGAGTGAGGTTACTGGCTTTTCTGAATTCGAAGTCGGCTGTTTTACAATTGAACAGGGTAACAAGCTGATTTTTCAGGGAGTTAGCCAATCTGTTAGAATTTTAAATCTGTAGAAAAAAAATCTGGGATGCAAAGTCTCTATTTTAAAGGCTCTAATTTCTCTCCCCCTCTCTTGAAAATGTTGATCTGCTTTAAAAAACAAAACAACAGAAAAAGCAACAAGACCATTATGAATATATATCCAAGGAATAAAGCAGGGCTGGGCATGATGATGCATGCATTTAACTTCAGGCAGAGCAGGCCGATATTTTGAGTTTGAGAACATCCTGGTCTACATGGCAAGCTTCAAGACTATCTCAAAAAAAAAAAAAAAAAAAAAAAAAAGCAAGTGTGTGGTGGATGAGGGAGGCCAAGTGTTTTGTTTATTTTGAAGGCTGTTTTTGTCTGTTTGAGGGTATGGGGAGAATGTACTGAATGTGTTAATATTAAATAGTCATCCTAAACAGCCAGTATTTTTAAAACAAGTATCTGTATTTGTGATCTACCTGTGTTTAGGAGCTTAAATGGTAACTGACCAAAGCCAGATGCTTTGAGTGGGAATACAAGATCTGCAGGGCATGGCATCTCTTAAAATTCCAAAACTTAGGAGAATTAGGAATTTGAGGCCACTCTGGGTTACACAGCAAGACTTTAAACCAAAACCAAAGATTGGGTATGATTACCTGTTCCACATTTCCTGGAAAAGGCCTTCCTTCTGGGGTCTTAAGTGACCAGATTTTGTGGGTGTTTGCTTGTTTGTCCATGTGGAGGCCAAAGGTGAGCCCTGGGTGCCATTAGTCTGATAAGATTCACTTTACCTTTTTCTCTCTTACTGGTATCTCAGAAATTAGATGAAGCTGGCTGGCCAGTGAGCTTGGGAATTCAGCTCTCCAGCTCCCCAAGCACTGGGATTATATATAGCTACAATGTCTGGTTTTTGTTTGTTTTTAAACATGGATTCTGGGGGTTGAACTCAGGTCCTCAGGGTTGCTCAGCCAGGCATTTAGTCAACAGCACTATCTGCCCCAGTAACTAGACTGGAGCAGTCAAGTAGATTACTAGAAAGAATTACGGTAGTCACTAGAGGGCAGTCGTGTGTCTTCAGTGAGTTAGCTATACACCGAAGTCAGTGTCAGGAGCAAAGGTACTGTTGTCAGTCTCAGAATGGGCAGCATTGCAAGCTGAGTTCATCTGTACGCAAGTCTCTAGACCTGATGAAATGTGTTATGTATTAGAAGAGAACTTGGACCTTCAGTGCACACTCCTGCAGAACTCATCCCCTGGTACTCAGCAGCAGTCTTAAGTGTAGACCCATAAATGGAACATGATATGATTAATACTAGCAGCTTTATAAAGCTAATGGCCCCATTTTATTGACACAGAAGCAGACTCATGCTATGTAGCTTGTCTGAGGTCATACAGGGTTTTATACAGGATTCAAGCTTGAGCTGCTTTTTCCCTATCACTGGATCTTACAGGGTCTTCATTCCTGGAACACTGTCAATTTCAACAGTATTTTGTTAAAATAGAGTTCTTACCTCCTTTCAGACTGTTATTCCCTGCTGTATAGTTATAGCATTACCCTATTCTATACCTATGGTTTCTACCCAATACCTGACCCTTACTCCCCACCCCTCAATAATGGTCATGCCACACAGTCTAGGCTGGCTTTGAACTCAAAATCCTGTTTCAGCTTCCCAAGTACTGGGAAAACAAATGTGTACCACTGTGCTGGGCCACCTGCCCTTTCCTAAATGTCATTAAGGGATTGTTTTTAGAGTACAAAAGCTCTAAGAGTCAGTTAGATGAGAAGAAAATTAGAGTCAGGCATGGTGGTTGATGCCTAATTCTAGTAATTCCCAGGCCGGAAGATAGGCTATCTGCCTCAACCCACCAAAAGAAAAAATGCGAGCCAACTGCAGACTGGAAAGAGGTCACACCATGACTTCAAAAGTAGCTTCTCATCTAGAGCATTTTCCTATTGTTGATAGATGGGGTGGTCATGACCTCTGTTCCCTACAGAGAGTCGGTCATCTCCACAAGTCTTGGAGCCAAGGCTGCCAAGCAGTTTGTGCTCTGTTAAAGTAGCATGAGAAGAAAGGATCATTCACTCTCATGCCCACATTAGGTGCCAGAAGGAATGACTATCTTATGAAAGGGGCTGATAATTGAAAGGGGGTCTTGATTATTCCAGGTCACATATGGAAGTGAGTACAAAAGTAATGACTAAAATAGTCCAATTTGTCCAGCACTTTCCATATTAAAGACTGGAATTTATGTGATACTTGATTGCCGCAGAAAGAATACCCATCTTAAGCAATTTTAGCCTAATGTACTGGAAAATTGCTTAACAGGCTGTTAGATTCTGTTAGAAACATTTCCATATTGCTGAAATGCCACTCACTTTTCCCCCAGCAGCAAATCTTAGATTAATAGGTAGAGCCTCGCCATGGCCACCGTTTATCTTGTGGAGCTGACCTGTGTGTTTATCCAGAATAAGAGATCTCTAAGTGCATACCAGTACCACAGGTTTTCATTTTGTGCCAAACTATAAGTCATTTTTCTTTTATGTTCCTAGAATATAATTCACAGACCAATTTACTTTCTGAGAAAATTGCTGTTAAATCACATCTATTAAGGATTTATAGTAAAACAGCCTTCCAGGGTTTGACTCTCACTCTGTGCATCTGTGCTGCTAGGACTATGTGCTTTACTTCGTGTGCCAGTGCAGGTGATTACCTACCTCCAGGTCAGCAGAATCAGGGTGCTGTGCCCTTAGTCCTAGGCTGCCTGAGATTGCGAACAGCTCCAATCTCAGGGCTCTGGGCGCTTTCTTCTTTTGATTGCAAAGAGCAGGATTCTCAGCATATTCACAAAAGTTTGGAGTTGGAGCAGAATGACCAGGTAGAAGAGAATTCAAATAACATGTACACCAGCCAAACAAGATTAATAGGCTTCACAAACTTTATTTATTTATTTATTTTGGTTTTTTGAGACAGGGTTTCTCTGTTTTAGCCCTGGCTGTCATGGAACGCTGGAGACCAGGCTGGTCTTGAACTCACAGAGATCCATCTGCCTCTGCCTCCCAAGTGCTGGGATTAAAGGCACCACAACCGCTGGGCTCACAAACTGTTTCTAAAGTGGCTCTTAACTGTTTTGACCTTATGCCCATGGATAGATTTTCCCAGTCGTACCGTAGAAAATGTCAGCATATGAATAACTGGGTTAAATTTTATTGTTTAGTATCTAGACCATGAATATTTAAAGAAATAATGTCATTTAGAGTTGTAAGGCTACCCTGCTTAGGAAATACTGAGTTTTCACAAGCTTCTGTGATCTGGTTTTGTACAGCAGTTGTCAGGCCTAGAAATTTCCGTACTGAAATCTATTATGTTCAATCAATCTGGCCAAACCTCAGGTTGTTAGATAAACAACCCACGAGCTGTCTAAACATTTGGCAACATAGCAGAATATAAATTTTTAGTTCTGCTAGCCTCCAAGTAGTTATATCTATGCATAAAAAAAATGACTGTTTTTCATTCTTTATCAGTTTATCCAGCCCAAGTCTGTTTGATTTAGATCAGCTCTGGCCTGGGAAGAGTTTCTCCATAGTCAGCCTGTGCCACTTCAGATGCCAGACAGAGCCAGGCACAGAAGCCTCTACAGTCAGCTGCTTAAGGGGTTCAGACAAGAGCATCACTGGTTCCCCAGGAGTTCAAGGCCAAGACCTCTCCACCCTCCAAAAAAGCAAAAGATGAATATTGAGGTTGTGCAGCAGGTGCTTGCAGCCTGGTCATTGTGTTGCTGTGTCTTGGGGGTTGCTGACAAGGAACTTACTGAGGTAGGTGGGAAGAAATAAGCCTAGCAAAAGCGTTTGTACTGAAAGGCTTCCGGAAAGAACCAGAAGAAGGAGAAGGAAATGCTGAGCTTGTCTGGGGCTATCATCAAATATTTCTTACTTTCAGTTTCCCTTTCCTGGTAAAGAAGACAAGTCACATTTCATGACATGTGCAGCTCTAGTCTTCAGTTCGAATTCCAGAGAGAAAAGCATTCCAATTCCCTGCTCTCCATGAAAGACCCTGCTGATATCCTTGTATCTAATAATCCGCAGTTGGTTCTTAGCCTCTGGCTCAGGCATTACCAGTATTAGTACAATTCAGATCCTTCAGTAATCTGCCTGCCGAAGCTGCCCCAGTTTCCATCCCACAGGTGAGGAAGCTGAAGCAAAGTGAAGTGAGGCTGCTGGTAAACCCTGAAGCTGGTGTGGAATGTGCACCTGAGCCAGGAACGGCACCCGAATTTCTTCCTCAGATTTGTGAAGGCATGTTTTTGCCTAGTTCTTGAGTCTAACTTGATTTCTTTTCCTCTCATGGCAGCCCTCTTCCAAACCAATGCTTTCCATCTTCACCCCCTCCATATTCATCTCCTGCTCCCCTCCCACAGTTCCATCCACCCACTACTCACCTTTCCATCTTTGCAGTAGTACCCTACAGAAAGAAGCGTCTGTCAGTGACCACTGCAGTTGGAGTGGCTCCCCAAAGTTTCCAAGCCTCTGAGACTGTGTAACCTGGTTGTGCAGAGAAGGTCTGTCATGGCAGGATGTGAAGACCTTTCCCTTCTGCTCAACACCTCCTGCCCAGCGTATCACATGTCTTTGTCTCTGCTACTTCAGGCTGCGTAGATCCAAAGCCTGTGCCTTTATGCCATTTTTTTTTCTAGCTTCTGTGCCTAAGAAGCTTGACAGCAGTAGGTGGCCTTTGTCTTGTTTTTCACTTTCTTCTGCTCACACAGTATTTGGCATCTAGTGTATGTTCAGTGGTTCAGGAGGGTTTGCTTTTGTTTTTGTTTTGTTTCTCAACACAGGGTTTCTCTACATAGTCTTTGTTGTCCTTGAACTCACTGGGTAGACCAGGCTGGCCTCAAACTCAGAGATCTGCCTGTCTCTGCTTCCAGAGTGCTGTGATTAAGGGTAGGCTTTTGATAAAAGCATAAATGGCTGAAAGTATAGCTAGCATGCAAAAGACTCTGGGCTCTTGAAGACCCTGTTCAAACACCACATCTTTCATAAACTGCCCAAAAGTCCACTAGCTGTCATCACTCAATTATCTTTTATGCTCCTATGGTGGCTAGTGTCTCAGTTTCGGTACCCCATACAGACGACCTGTAGTTATTGTCTCTGTGACAAGCTTTTCTTCTGCTTATACTATTGGGAGATTGCATGGAGTATAGGTTAGTGGTGGAACACTTGCCTTGCATGCGTAAGGTTCTGGGTTCAAGCCTCAGCACTATAACCAGAAAAAATAATCCCACTCATTTTCTGTTTTTTCATTTGTGGACGCTTGGTATCGAAAGTCTTCAAGTAGCATAACTGTAATTTTTTTGTTTGTGTAGATACACTTGAAATGGAGCTAAGTACCAATTTGCTAGGTTCAGAGTGGCATCTTCTGAACCTTGGAAATGTATATTTTTGAGCTTGTGCTTTGATAGAGCCCTGGACCCTGATTATATAATTTTTTCTTAATCATAAAAGTAAAACATTGTAATTATGGGAAAGATAGCTCAGTGGTTGGGAGCATTGGCTTCTCTTCCAGAGAATCCAAGATCAATTTCCAGCACTCACACAGCAGCTCACACCTGCCTATAACTCTAGTCCCATCCAGGGGATACAACACCCTCCCACAGACATTTACTCGAGCAAAACACCAATGCACATAATATAAAAATAATTTTTTTAAAAAAGAAGAAAAAATAATTGTAATTAAAGGGACTTTGGAAAATATAAAAAATATATCATAATTCTGTTTCTTACAGGAAACATTTTGGTTATTTCCTACTAGTGTTTTTCTGTAAATATATTTGACTCTATAGATAAACGTATTGCTTTTTTCAGTTATTAGATCAAGAACATTCTTGAACATCAGTAGACATTCTTTAACTTGTTTTGGTGCTGAGGATTGATCCCAGGGCCTTGTGCAAGTCAAGTACATTCTCTGCCAGTGAGCTACACCCGCAGTGAATAATCTGGGCTTTAGCCTTGCAAAAAAGAATGATTATACCATGATTTATGTAATCTTATATTGGGGATTAGGTGCTTGTCTTTATATGCTATACCTTTGCACAAATCCCCTATTACTTTGTTACTATAACCCTCTTAGAGGCAGAATTACAGTCCTCCGGGTGAGAATTTTCAAGCCCTTCATATGTGTTATTAAACCCCAGCACACTCAGCCTATCACATGGTAGAGGCTCAGCAAATAATTGCTGAATGATTTAATGCCTTCCTTAAGGATTGGGCCAATTTATATTCCCACCAGTGGCATATGAGTATGACCTTGTCTTGGTCAATCCCCACCAGGACACGAATAATAATGCAAGATTTGGGTTTCTGTCACTCAATGAAATACTTTTCTGCCTTTAAACAAAGAAATGGAAGGAAAGAATCCTCATGAAGTGACACATGGTTTGGCTTTAACAGCTTGCTGCCTTAAATCATGTTGGAATAAAAGTGAGAAGTAGGAAGAGGTCTCACTTATTTAGGGTTAAATTGAGAAGTTACATTCCCCATATCTCCCTCTACTGAGCGTTGGCCATCGGTCGCTATCACTTGCTTGCCTAGTGTTGCCCAACAGTCCTGGTAAGGTCGAACTCCGGGGAAGTTAACCATTAAGTGCAATCTAGACCTTTGCTACCATGTCAGCTTGCAGTGGCAGCGGTGGATTCACAAGAAGCTTTGTTTTTATGAATGAAATAATAACAAACAATGAAACAATAACAAACAAACTTAAGAGTTAGAAATCTTTTCTGTGAATTGTCAGGACGGAACACATATTGAGATTTTTTAATATGTGGAAGGTCCTTTCCCATCCTGTTGCATTTCTATTACACATTGTATACAAATATTTACTTGGTTTTGTGGATGGAAAAGTGAGCTCTCTCTCTCTCTTTGTGTGTGTGTGTGTGTGTGTGTGTGTGTGTGTGAATGACTTTCAAGGTCACACAGCTTAAGTAAATGTCAGAGCCCAGACAGGGGCCTGGTCATCTGATCTAAGTTTTAATTCCATTATTGTCCTGAAGGATTCTGCTCTGGGGTTAAAGTAAGCAGGGTAGATTTCGTGCTGAGAAGTTGATCCTCAAGTTTGATGGCTCTAAGTTTGAGGCTCTTGGAGCCAAGAATGCTAGGACTGAAGACTCTCAGAGTCTAAGATCTCTGAGTGGTCATTGGGTTTGAAGACTTTTGTGCTCAACGGACAACTAAGGGCCAAGCATACACGCAGGGAAGTCTTTTCATCAGTTATTTTTTCTATCCCAGCTCTTAGTTGCTTAATGGTTCCAGGGCCAAACACTGTGGGATCCAGTTATGAGGGAGCAGAGCCTAGGTTCTCTCGAGGATCAAGATCTGAATCAGGATTTGGTCTAGAAAGTCTGATCTGCAGGCTCAGCCCTGGGTAGAGAAGATGTGATTGGGAGTAGTAGGGCCTCATGAGCTTCTGAAAGGTTCACCTGAAAAGTTAAGTTCGTTTGGATGCCAAGGCTCAGACGATGCAGTGTCTAGATTTGAGACCTGGTAGTGATGGCTTAGTTTTGTGCTCCTGAGCCCAAGGCAGGGTCCTCACAGTACTGGGTATACGATGTAGCGGCCAGTTGGTGCCAACAGAAGGACACAATGCCTCTGATAGCGGACACTGGAAGATCCCAGTCACCCACGCCGTCGTGCGTTTCGGCGCTAGGACCCAGGCGGGTCGGGCGGACGGGTGTCGACTGTCACCGGGCCGGGCGGGCCTGCAGGCGCTAGGACCCGGCGGGCAGCGGCGGCGCGTGGGGCGGCGCGCGTTGACAGCCGCGGCGGCGGGACGCGGCGGGTGGCGGGTCTCGGCGCCTTCGGTTCCTGCGCCGGCTTCGGAGGCGGCGGCGGCGGCGGCCCGGGATGGCCTTCATGGAGAAGCCGCCGGCCGGCAAGGTGCTGCTGGACGACACGGTGCCGCTGACAGCGGCCGTCGAGGCGAGCCAGAGTCTGCAGTCGCACACGGTGCGCGGCCGCGGCGGGAGGCCGGGGCGCAGGGCGGGCGCCGGGCGCAGGCCAGCGGCGAGCCGGGCGCGGGCACCGGCGCCGGCCAGGTGTGCCCGCAGCCTCCCTCCCGCTCGGCCGCGGCCCGGGCGGCGGGCGATCCCACCCCTGACCCCCGGGCGGCTTAGGGAAGTAGGTGCTGGTAGTAAAGGCAGGCATTTCATCTCTGCTACACGGAGTCTTCCTTGGGGCTTTAACGCCACGCTTCGGGCGCTCTCTGCATTGTAATTTGCGAGCCGTAAGCCCAGGCAGCCGGTAAAATCCTGGGAGCGACTAGCCTGGTGGAGGAAATGATGAATGGGGTGGGGGGTGGGCGTGGGATTCCTTAGATTGTGCTGTTTTGTCAGGCCAGCAAATCAGATTCCAACTCAGAGGCTTGTTTGTTTATCACTGCAGTGTTTGGGGGTTCATCATCTGGAGGCTAAAGCCCTACAATAGCCCCCACCCCGTGTGTGTGTGTGTGTTCAAGTTCCTCTGCTTGCTGTTTAAAGGCATCTTTCATTCTGTTGTGTTAAAGCGGGACTTTTTGGCCCCCCCTTCCCCCCCGTTTCTTCTTGCTTTGTAGGTCCTGGATCGTTGAAAGCATCCATCCTCAGATAAAGAAAGGACTATCGTTTTAAACAGTGCACCTGGTCTCCCTATGCTAACATCTTAAGTCCTGTTCTAGAAACTTGTGAGAAGGCACCAAATAGCCCTGAGTTTGTTAAACTTGTAATTTGTTGCAGAGTATTTAAAGAGCCCAAGTTTAGGGCAGGAAGTAATCATTCTTTCAAATTAAATTTTTGACTGGATTACTGGCAAGTATGTATTCTAGCCTCTTAGGGTGTTTTCGGTCTATTTTATACGTAAGAGATGGATGCTCTTACATGTTCAGAAGCCGCTTCCCCTACAAAGCCTTCCTTCCTCGTAGCTATTACTCTAGGCCATATGGACACCACTATAAATCTTGTAACTTCCTCTCAGCCAAACTTTGACAGGAGGGACAATTCTCGTTCACTTTTGGGTCCCTTTTCCTGTTTGTGTAGTGATGTCTGTGAAAATCAGAGCAATGTGACTTCTGGGCTACTAACAGAGGTCAGCGCTAAAGTTAAGTGGTAAGAAATGTTATGGGATTCCATAGTTATTACAGAGCTTTTCGTTAAGACAAACAAAATTATTTTAGGGCAAGAAAAAAAAAGGTAGGTGGTTTTTTTTTTTTTTTTTTTTTCCACAATGATGACTGAACAGGAAAGACAATGACTCACTGAAGACCAAGAGAGGCAGATGTGGAACAAAAAACGTAGCGTTGTCTTGCTTAATTTTTGACTGTTCTGTGCTCTTGTCATTTTAGCTGTGAAGTGTGAGACTGAGAAATGTTGCATCAGCCCTAAATTTTACTGAGAAAAAGCATACACTGATACAAGCTTCTTGAACTACTTACTCATATGAGTAAGTCCCTTGAAAACAGTAATAGTTGGAAATTGTTTTTGGAAAGCATTAATTATTGAAAGTAATGTGTGGCATTGTGACCTGTTGAGTAGATTGAAGATCGATTTTCAGTTTGTTGGCTGAAGGGAAATCATGTGTCAAAGTTCAAAGATGCACCCTTCAAAATACTGCTTTCTAGGACGTTGTTTCTTGGCTATGGACAGAAACAAGGAGGGAAGGAGGGAGTACATGGTAGCAGCTGTCCTTTGATTTGAAGAGGCAAGCTAGTCAGCTAGTCAGGTCTGGAATCATATTTGACAGTCATGTGACTTTGTTTGGACAAGTCACTGAAAAACTCCCCCCCCCCCTTTTGCTTTGCTTTGTTTTGAAATGGGGTCCCTCTCTGTATACCTGGTTGGCCTGGAGCTTGATATGTAGACCTGACTGGCCTTGAACTTACAGAGATCCCTTCCAGGGGGTCTGCCTAGCTCACTCAAATTTTTTAAAATTACCCCTTTTTATATGTATTTGTTTATTTTATGTGTGTGGAGGTTGCTTGCCTGCTATGGTGAATGTGTGGTGGTCAGAAGATAGCTTTGAGAAAACAGTTCTTTCCTTCCACTAGGCCAGTTCTGATGGTCCAATTCAGGTCAGACTTGGAGGTGAGTGCCTTAACTTGCTGAGCCATCTTGCTGGCTCTCTTTTTAATTTTTGATGTAGCTGAAGCTGGCCTTGAACGCTGGTCTTCCTACTTCTACCTTCTGAATGCTGGGATTACAGACATGCACCAGCACAAACCACTAGGCCCCTCTTTTTTATTTTAGTTTTGTTATATGTAAATAGGAAAAATCAGTGCCTGTTCTCACCTGCTCTCCTCTTGTTACAAGGATGAAAAAAAAATTATCTTTATGAGGTATTTGTAAGGTTGTTCCTTTCTTGGATCTCTTTATTTTCTAGCAACCTTTGTGTAGAGAGTTAATTGCACTTAAGTATGTTACTGCAAGTAAGCTCAGTTATGTTCATAGTTGCTTTAATGTGTCTAATTGTTTTGTCTTAGGAAACAGAATTTACAGCTCAAAATTAATAGGGTAAATATGACTTAGGATTTATGAAGGGAAACATTGTGTGGGGAGAAAACAGACACCAGGAGGATGGAGGAACACAAAGTCATTTCCCAAAAAGACATACTCGGATGAGCAGCTGGCTGGCTGGCTGGGTGCATGTTGGTAGGTGATTCATTGCCTGGCTTTGGCTTGAATAGCTTTCTTTTGTATATTCTTTCTGTTTTTAAATGGTGCACAATGATTTTAGCCTCAAGAAATTGGTCAGAAGGGGTTGGAGAGATGGCTTAGCAGTTAAGAGCACTTGTTCTTGCAGAGGACAGAGGTTGGATTCATAGCACCCCATTTGATCTCAGCTTTCTGTAACTTCAGTTCCAGTCCAATCCAATGCCTTTTTCTGGCCTCTGGAAATCAAGAAGGCAAGTGATGCACAGACATACATTCAGGTGAAACATCTATGCACATAAAATAAATAAGGAAAAAATTTAAGAAATTGACCAGGAGGTTAGAGATAGCTAAGTGCTTAGAAGTGTTCCCTTGCAAGCACAAGGACTTGAGGTTGAATCCTTAGTGTGCAGGCAATAAGCTAGGCATAGCTGGGCATTCCTGTAATCCAGCATTCCTGTAATCCAACACACATACATGCACACACACATTCGCAGAGGACCCGCCAGACCAAGACTGCAAGGAAATGACACTTTCACAAAATGAGAAGGGCATTCAGGGGCAGGATTCAAAGAAAGGTTTTCTAAACAAGGGATTATGAGGAAACTGTCAACAGGTGAGTTGTAAGCAAGTTTAAGAGAAATAAGAGAGGGGATTTGTAAATTCTTGGCTGTATGAAGGGGAAAACTCAAACATCAACAGACTATAAAAAATGCTGGCCTCACAGAAATAGAAGCCAGAGGAAGCGGCAGCTGGAGAGGGTCATTACCAAGTATGCACATTTCCTTGTTGCTGTTTGGGAAGCTGTCAGTGTGGCTAGTCTTTTCACCTCAGCTTTCTCCTGTTTAATATTCTGCAGGTTCAACTGGCTTAGAGCCCATTTACTCTGCGTCTGGTGCATTTTGTTCTTGAAGTAAAAGATCATTGTGTGATATTTGTAGCATAAACAATTTTTTAATGGCGCAGTGAACTAGACAGTTGCAGCTTTCATAGAATTTTTCTTGTATTGAATCTGAGGTCTTTTGTTTTCTAAGGTTTGCTCAAGTTATCTGCCATCGTATAGATGCAATATGATTTTTTTTTTTTTTTGGCTTGCTGAGCTTAGTTTCTTAATTAGTGACCTTTAAAACAAAACAGAACAAAACAAAATTCTATTCATACCAGGTCTTTAATCTCCTCTCAAAAACAAACCCTGAAGCCTTTGTTCATATATCTCCAGGATGCCTATTCAAGTGTGATGTCAAATAAGACATCATTGTCTTCAGAGCCTGAAATGTTAAGGTAAGCCAGTATTCAGTGTCAGAATTATCTAGCTTGACTTCCTTTTCAGATAGTATTTGGAGGTTTCTTGAGAAGTCCGCATTATACTGAATGCTGGTAAATAATTCCTCTGAAGATATTTGCATAAGCAAGGGCTGACTGTCTACAGGTAATGGCAGCGCTTCTACACTGCTATAAGGTAATGGTGACTGCTGTTTCCTGGGACTCCCCTCACTCATCTTCTGCTTATTTGCACATTTTTCCCAGTCGTCCAGTACAGGACTTGATAAACACAGTCAGAAAACCCCCCATTGGGTGTGTTTAGAGGCTGGTAATTTAGTTCATTTAGACATTTTTAAATCATCTCTTTTTATTGAAAAACATTCTCTTTGTACCTGATTTAGGGATCGGTGATATTCAGTCCTCATCTGTCACCTCTTTTGAGCATTATCTCATTAGAAGTGTCTTGTAATAGGGAAATAAGAACATCGTGATGTTCCTACGAGGAAGTGTGGGGTTCTGGGACAGGACTGTTTTGTTCTTGCTTAGAAGAGCAGAAACAACCATCCCTTCCATAATGATCTTGAGTTTGTTCAAAATACAGATAGTCAATGGAATGTTCAAAATACAGACAGTCAATGAAGTTTGAACGTGTTCATTTGTAACACATGAGCCAAGCTCAGGACTCTCACTGCAAGGCAAATGTTTTTTCCTTCAAAGTTTCCAGAGGCTTTTAAGGGCTTCTTAGGAAATGAAGCTCCTTATGTTGCAGCTTTTGGCATTCTGAGAAAAGGGAACCTGGACCTCAACTGGAAGTGTGTGTGTGTATCTGTGTGTGACTGTCTCTCTCTATATACATATTTATGTATGTATATGTGTGTATACGTCTGTATGTCTGTAGATGTGTGTATTTTTGTTTATCTGTGTATGTTTATATGATGTGTCTGTGTTTGTCTGTGAGTGTCTGTCTCTCTGTGTGTGTGGTAAAGTTGGGTGTCTTCTTATTGTTCTCTATCTTTTTGGTTTATTAAGTAATTATTTTTGAGACAGGGTTTTACTGTGTTGCTC